CACTGAAGGAGTTAAAGGTGAGTCTGTTAAAATATGCTTTTTACCTTCAAAAAGAAAAAAAAATCTGTTTATTTGATTCTTTTGGATGTTTTATTAAGATTATCTGGAAATTTCTTTATGCATTTAGAAATAAATAACTTCTTGATGTGAATTTATAAAATGGTTTGTCAGTATGTGAAGAAGGTCACAAAATACATTTATTTCCCAGAAATAGAAATGGGAAAATAAGAATACACCATATGTAGAAGAGTAAATAACAGCAGTTAGATCGATTGGCCATCTTAAAATTATATGGATGTCATGAAAAAAAAAGAATAAAATAAAAATTGTTCAACAGGGAGTTAAAACATTTTTTTCTGTCTCGGTAAATTACACAAAACAATTCCAAATGTGTCCAACACATTTGCTTTTAAAAAGTCAAACTCTGTTATTTGGGTTGAAACATTTGTGGACTTACTGAATCAGATACAGTTCTTTAGTTCTGACTTGATCAAACACATCAGAGTCTTTTAAATGTAAAGGAACCATGTTTATAATTACTTTTGTAGAGTATTTTTTAAACAAGGTTAGTGGATATTTTTCTACAAATGAAGAGAAATTATTAAGGGAATAAATCTGGAACCAGTTTCAATCTTTTCTAATGACTTTAACCAGCCTCAAACTGTTGGTGGTGTTAAACTAAGAGCATAACTCAACGTTTTAATTATGACGAGTGTGCTGGGAAATAACAAGCTGTCTGTGTTTACTGTGGAGCTTATTTTATGCTTTGTTAGAGCAGCAAATATTCATGCACATTCACGCACACGAGCTGCAACAACCCAAACAGGCTCTGAGCTTCTCTGATTTCCCCGACGACTGAGCTCCAGCCCAACAGGCTTTCGCTTTTTTTTTTCCCGCCGCTCTCACCTCTGCCCGGTCTCCGTCTCGCCGAGCCRGCTTCTTGCTGCATCTTTCGCCCGCTTTCATCACCGCTCAGAGAGAGAGGAGGCGGACCAAATGGGGAGTGATGGCGGTACACCGTTACCAAGCAGCTCTGCTGTGTTAGACCTGCTCGCTGCCATTCTCCATAATAAGGAGGATATGAAACTGCACATACAGTAAGTGCTACCACTGTCTCCTCCACAACCTTGAAATGATTGGCCAGCTGAGCAATATATGTACTTCATGCTCTCTGTGAAATGGCCATTGGCTCTGCTATGGGTCAAATGGAAAAATGACCTGAGCAAATCCCCAGGACGAYATAAAGAAAGAAAAAAATCCAAACTGTGTGGTTCTGCTTCTTGTTCTGAAATCTAAAAAAAGCAAAACAGTATTGAGCTAAAAGCCCAACAATCTTTGAAGGAATTCATTAGTGATAAAGAAACAAACTATAATACAACCGAACAAGCTCGACTGTATTCTGTTAAAGCAAAAACAAAAACAAAACAAAAAAAACCCAACCCAATAATAYATCTTTAACAAGTTCAAGACTGTTGAATTATTTTCTCGCCTTCGCCTTGCAGGACGCATGAAATGAGCAGCAGATCAGAGCAGAGCTGCTAAAGAACATTTAAATCTTATTATTACTGCACCCCACGAGGCACAAACGCCCCAAATACAAATAAGCGAACATGAACGATAAAGACTTGTCGTGCAGGAGCTACACGTTAGTGATCGACACGGAAGGAAGTGGATGCTGATAATTATTATTGTTCTTTTGTGGCTTGGTGTTAGTTATTTAAAAATAATAATAAAAATAAAATCACCTGACACTTGAACGGTGAAAGCTTCTCCCTGTAATGAGGAACAAAGCGGCTCGGACCARCAATCTTCTCATTTCATAACGCTATTCATTTCTGCTCCCTCAGTACTCAGAGGTCTGGCTAATGTAGGCCTTTTCATTTTCATTCGCTGTGTGTGTTTGTGTGTTTTATGCACAATGCACATCTCCTAACCAAATTAAGGCACATTTCTCTTATGTGTTCTGGTTTGAATTATCCTTCGAGTCTCATCGAGCGGGAGGTGAGTGAAGACGTGTTTCTCTTCCAGGTGTTCTTACAGCTGTGATGCTCCGCGTGTTAAGAACCCAGAATCATGAAAGGTTTTGGCTGTTTTCTCTGTTTCAGTCCCTCCGTCTGACCATTTTCAGATTTTTTATTTATTTATTGTTTAACCACTTAACGTTGACGTATGAGTCATTCAAGCCATGAAGAGAGTCCTCAGCTCTGAGGATGAACCAGTATCGTCTTGGCACGTAGAAGACAACCTGACAAAGAAACAGTTTTAAACAGAACTTTTCAGCTCTTTGTCAGCAGTTTGTCACAAAGACAATTTCTCTGGTGTCTTTCTTTTGTAAAAAGAGCAAAAAAAAACTTCAATTGTTGCAAGAAGCAAAAATGTAARCAGAAAAAAGGTGGGAATATCCACAAAACGCTGCCAGGTAGCAATTATTTTCACAAAATACAAAGCAAGAACATCCTGAGCACAGCTAAAGACTCACAAAACAATTATAACTTGTTTTTTTTACACCATTTAATATTTCTTCTTAACCTTTTAAAAAGATAAAAGGTCCAGTTTTACAGTTTCGAGCACAGAACCAGCAGGAATACATAAAAAAAACACGTCTTTGTGGGTTCATCAAAAATTGAAGGTTTAAACTCTCCTCATTGAACTGTGTTTTTAAAAAAATCAAGTGGGTGAAAAGTGCAAACACAGCAGAAAATGATACACTTGCAAAAGATTTGTGAACAGAGCCTTAAAAACACAGCTCTCACATTCAGCCGATCTGGTAGAAACTAACACTTACTGTAACAGTTAAGCACCCTGCACAATATGTTGTCATGACTGAGTTAAAGATCTGAACAAAACTGAGAATAAAAGCAGCCAGTGTTAGAAAATAAACATTTCTGAACAACTATCTATATAAAGATCACAACAAGGTTTAAGTTATTGGAAGTATAAATAAATAAAAATCATCTTAAGATGTTTGATCCAAACTGAGCTCCTTGTAGCAACTGTCAAAACTGAAAGCTGTTTAAAGAAAGTGATGCTTCCAAATCTAAAATATTGCTCATAATCATGATTTTAGTTGGTTAAGCTGGTTAAAAAATGAAAAGATTTGATGAAAGCCATTGATGATATATTTAAAATATCAGTTCTCAAACATAAAAAGCAAAGTAACATCAGTGTACAACAAATGTAGAGAATGATATTGTAAAAGCAATCT